TTGGTTCATAACTCGATAACGGAGCGTCGTAGAACATTCTCGCGAAGGAAAAAGTTTCTCGAAATCGTTTGAGGAATCGCCTCGTGCAATTGAAACAATACTAATCATTTTTTATTACTGTTACACGGACCATCACACGATTTCGTTCGGCAACACCGCATTGCACGTGCATCACGCTGTCTGTTCGCACGAAAACCGATTCTCCACCGTCACGTGTCTTCGCTGTGCAATGCTTCCGTTTGTTTTCGCAATCGTTCGATTCGATTGCCGTAGATTTTTCAGTTTGCACGGGTTGGGCTCGAGGTCCGAGGCGAAACCGGTAACAAGATTTCCTGGGAGACGAAAGTCTTCGCGACTGTCTGATGGTCAATTAGAATCGACGGGCATCGCGATCATTCAACGCGGCCAATCAGACTATTTCGAGTATGCTTCGCCGCGATATTGGAAAGATATTGCCGGCCTGCGTGGGAGACGGTCTACGGGGATTACGGGGCTGCACGAGACCTTGAGCTCGCTCCGCGAAACCGTAGAAGTCGTTTTCTTTTTCATTATGCCGTAATTAGAGGACTGCAGATCTTTATGCAACTTTTTTTTCGCGATAAAGCAAATTCTCCCTAATTGATGCTCGGATTGTGCAGAAAAATGAACAATTTGGGGAGAGGAAGCGCGATCATATTCGAGCCTCGCGCCTCGTTTTTATAGTCACCGATTGTCGACGACTATAAAAACTGTATAAATAATAACTTAATATTAATATTAAGTTATGTAAGAATTATGTGTTATATAATATTAACTTATTAAGTATATAACTATTATATACTATTAATATATTATATAGCATTATATTGTAATATTAATATATTATATAACATTATTTTACAATATTAATATATTATATAATATTATATTACAATATTAATATATTATGTAATATTATATTGTATTATTAATATATTATATAATATTATATTACAATATAAATGTATTATATAATATTATATTACAATATTAATATACTATATAATATTATATAATAATATTAACTTAACCATAAATAAAAAACTATATTAATAATCGTACCTCTTCTTCCAAAATCACTGTAGTTTCGATTTCAAACAATTGATTTGTATTATTATTAATCCGGTAAAATTATTGAAAAACATTTCGATATACAGCCATTTTCATTTGAAGCATTAAAAATTCGATAACAATTTTTAAACGTGCATATTTCAACTTGCAATCCATTAAAATGATTAAAAAGGGGAATATTCCATCGAATTCAGCCGGACAATTATTCTTCGGCACGGAAATCCGCGGTCATTTGTTAACGTAAATGTAATCTACATATTTATAGAACGATCTGCCGCACTCGATGGCTCCGTCGGCACGATTCGCTGTCCTTTTTTTTCCAATTTGCCCGGCGGCCAGTGAAAGAAATCGAATTATGGAGCCGCCGAAGAGTCGGAATAAATTCCGATTTGTTTGAGCGGCTCGAATCGGCATCGCGAGAACTTTGCATGTTCTCTTGAATTGATGCATGTTAACGCGAAGTATTGCAAGTAAATGTATTAGGGTAAAATGTTTGTCTTCCATCCCCTGATCCATATGCATGAGCTTAGGGACCGGCGGCGAAATTCAATCAAAATCTACTTCGCTTCTCTGCAAGAAATTCTACGCGTTCACAATTTTTTCATTCTTCTACCCGTTTTAATCTTGCCCGGGAAAAACATCGATTTCAGCCGTTTGGGAGACGTTCGGGTAAATTGACCATTTAAATAATAATAAATAATGGAACTAAATTGAGAATTCGTTTAAATAATTTTCATTAAAAAAACCCATGCTCGACGCGTAATATTATTTTATTAGCGTATATTTTATTAATATTTAATTATTAAGTAATATAATGTTTATATGATAATATGTATTAATATTTATATAATAATATGCATTCATATTGATATATTAATATATATTAATATTGATATAATAGTATATATTAATATTGATATATTAGTATAATATTAATATTGGTATATTAATATAATATTAATATTGGTATATTAATATTTATGAAATAATATATATTAATATTTATATAATAGTATATGTTAATATTGATATATTAGTATAGTATTAATAATGATATATTAATATTTATATAATAATATGTATTAAGATTGATATATTAATATTTATGCAATAATATATATATTAATATTGACATATTAATATAATAATATACATTAATATTGATACATCAATATAATATTAACACAATAATTAATTATAATATTTAATTATCAATATTTAATTTATTCAATATCAATATTTTATTAATACATATTATCCATATCATTTTTTATTAATATCATTGCTAACGACAATCTATTATTGCGAAAAATTACTGAGAATATCTGTTTAAAAAATGGAATAATTTTCAGCTCGCTGTCAGCGATCGCAAATAATCGATACAAATATTTTGCCTTCCCGCATGCACGCGGCAAAGTAATTTATTGCACGGAGAGTTATTAAATATATCGAACGTTACGGCGGTGCAACGAAAGGATCGCCGAGCATCAATTGTACTTCCGATTCGGTCAGACAGATAGCTCACGCGTTTATGTTATTCCGGCGTTGTTGTAAAATTTATGAGGGGCCGAGCGCCGCAATCCAGCTCGCCGACGCGGAATAGTACGCGGATAATGAACGCGAAGTGCACGGCCAAATTGCTGTTGAATACTGCTTCCACGGATATCGTATGATAATTGTGCCCCGTGTAACTCCATCTATTCGCTCGTCTGCCGGACGAGCATTATCGTTTTAACGAGCCCGGTTGTACTTATCGTCGCTACGGAAACCTGTAATCAGCGAGCTCGCACTTACCGTAGAACGATACGGTTTTTCTACGTGTCGCAATTAGAGTAGACCTTGGGGTCGAATTTTTTCAATAATAACGTTCGATTCGTTTCACCGCTGTACGCGTCTACAGGGCGCCCCAGAACTCCCGTTACGCGCTGATTTCCCGAAACAATTTTCGAAACACATCCAAGAGATTCCTCGGGCGATTTGGAACAACTTTTTCCTTTGCGAAAATTGTCCCCGAGGCTCCGTTAACGAGTTATCGACGAAAAATGCGGACCAATGAGAGCGCGGGAACACTGACGCACCGCGCTCGCGCCCAATGCCGCGACGCGCCGCACCGCGCCGCGCCGCCTACTCGTCTTCGACCGGCTCGCCGATTGGTCCGTATTCTTTCGCGAATAACTCGCGAACGGCGCCTCGGAGAATGTTTTCGTAAAGGAAAAAGTTTCTTCAAAACACCCGAGGAATCGTCTCGTCGTGTTTGCGACGCCAGTTTTGGGACATCGCGCTAATTAGCGTGCCAATCGATAAAGAACATTTCCAAAGAAAATAGCCGACGGCGAACGGAATTTCTCGAAGCAGAAGCGCATTTCGTATTACCAACGCCAACGTGGAATTTAGCAAGCGTTTCGGTTGACGATTCGGAACCTAATTAAGCTTTCCGCGTTGCCAGCGACGAAACCGTTGCCCATATAAACGCATCAATGCCGCGTTCCACGAACGATTTTGTTTACACGCTCGCGTCTTTGCTGTTTGTTCGACACCCCCTTCGGTGTTGTTGTTGGTTTCCACAATAAAACTTTGGACATTTCGATCGCACTCGACGTCTGTGTTTGCTTTACGGCTGCTGGCCATTGGCGGCCGCCGATTCCCCGCTGTTTGCGATCATATTTACCCTTAGCCGAATGAACTTGATCGTAATTAATGGTTCCAGGAAAGTGGCATTCTATTCCGTGGTATCCGATTGTTTACGATTTCTGTGTTTCGGAGAGAGTTTTTTTATTCTATCGTAATTGTTATAAAATAACGCATGGTTATCGCCGGACTGCGGATTTCAGGCGTTTGCAAACGAGAGGATGAAATTGAAAATTGTGAATGATACTTGGAAGATTTTAATACTCGGAAATATTAATTTAATATTAATTTGTTATTAATTTTCAAATATTAATTTAATAAAATTGAGAGGTTCCTTAGGCCATTTGAAGCAACTCTTTCCTCAGCGAAAATGTTCTACGAGATTTCGTTCGCGAGTTATCAGCATAAAACGCGGTCCAATTAGAGAGCAAGGGCGGAGCGTGGACGGGCGAGGGCGTGGCCCCGTCAGTTTTTCGCTAATATCTCGTAAACGAAGCCTCGTAGAACATTTTCGCTAAGGAAAAGGTTACTTCGAATGACCTCAGCATAATTATGGGTCACAGTAAAATTCTGTTTTCGAAAGTCGCCTCCGAAGTATTTGCGTTTCGCATAAATATCCGCGGCCTGGTAGCAACAATTCCGTATTTCTGTCGAGTGCAAAATCCCCCCCCCCCCCCCACCCCCCTCACCCCCCCCCCCAAAATCANTTTTTATTCTATCGTAATTGTTATAAAATAACGCATGGTTATCGCCGGACTGCGGATTTCAGGCGTTTGCAAACGAGAGGATGAAATTGAAAATTGTGAATGATACTTGGAAGATTTTAATACTCGGAAATATTAATTTAATATTAATTTGTTATTAATTTTCAAATATTAATTTAATAAAATTGAGAGGTTCCTTAGGCCATTTGAAGCAACTCTTTCCTCAGCGAAAATGTTCTACGAGATTTCGTTCGCGAGTTATCAGCATAAAACGCGGTCCAATTAGAGAGCAAGGGCGGAGCGTGGACGGGCGAGGGCGTGGCCCCGTCAGTTTTTCGCTAATATCTCGTAAACGAAGCCTCGTAGAACATTTTCGCTAAGGAAAAGGTTACTTCGAATGACCTCAGCATAATTATGGGTCACAGTAAAATTCTGTTTTCGAAAGTCGCCTCCGAAGTATTTGCGTTTCGCATAAATATCCGCGGCCTGGTAGCAACAATTCCGTATTTCTGTCGAGTGCAAAATCCCCCCCCCCCCCCCAAACCTTGCACTGACGTCAAGAACTTATCGTATTTGCAGTCGAAGACACGAAGATGAGATTCAGCCTGACGCCGCAGCCGGGAGAAAGCGGTTTCATACAATGGCTGGATGCGATGAAAATGGTGGCCAGGTTGCAGGGCGGCATACCACCGGAGTTTCGGAAGAAGGTGAGCCAGCCTCCGGCCGAATGCTTGCCCTAGGTCGCGAACGGTTTCGATCGGTCGCGCGTCCTCATCGCGAAATATTTGTCACAGTTATGGCTGACACTGGCGGAACGTCATCTGGAGCAGCGCGGCGTGGATTGGAAGCAGGCTGAGAAGGTCTGCTTCAATGAGTGGAGCAATCCTGACGACGAAGAGCTCGGAATACAGATCGTTAAAGTAAGAATCGGAAATATGCAAGCTTTTTTTCTGCACTGCACTCTGAGCTTTGATACAGTTTGCTTCTACGGTGTACTATAGCATAATATTGCTGTTAAGTGGTAGTATTATTGATATATTTTAACTTCAGTTATTAGCAAGATATATCCACTATAAATGGCGAAGAAATCTTTACTGTAATTAGCAAAAAGATTTCTAGTGTAACTGGCAAACAGACTTTCAGAATAAGTGGCGAAAATATTTCTATTTTAGTTGAGAAAAAGATCTCTACTCTAAGTGCCAGACACAAATCTCTAGCATAAGTTGCAAAAAGTTTCCATTATAATGCTTATAATAATTGTTACAAAGGTTTCCATCGTTACTGGTAGACAGATTCCTGGTATAAATGGCAAAAAGATTTCTATTATACCTGGCAAAAAATCTCTACTATAACTGGCAAAGGAATCTCTAGCATAAGTTGCTAAAAGATTGCTATTATTATTGCTATTATTGGTGGCAAAAAGCTCTCTATAATAACTGGTAGGCAGAACGCTGGTATAAAAGACAAGAAAATTTCTATTTTACTTTGCAAAAAGATCTCTGCTATAAGTGACAAAGTAATCTCTAGCGAGATGTGTATAAGAGACAGCTCTATAATAACTGGTAGGCAGAACGCTGGTATAAAAGACAAGAAAATTTCTATTTTACTTTGCAAAAAGATCTCTGCTATAAGTGACAAAGTAATCTCTAGCGAGATGTGTATAAGAGACAGCTCTATAATAACTGGTAGGCAGAACGCTGGTATAAAAGACAAGAAAATTTCTATTTTACTTTGCAAAAAGATCTCTGCTATAAGTGACAAAGTAATCTCTAGCGAGATGTGTATAAGAGACAGCTCTATAATAACTGGTAGGCAGAACGCTGGTATAAAAGACAAGAAAATTTCTATTTTACTTTGCAAAAAGATCTCTGCTATAAGTGACAAAGTAATCTCTAGCGAGATGTGTATAAGAGACAGCTCTATAATAACTGGTAGGCAGAACGCTGGTATAAAAGACAAGAAAATTTCTATTTTACTTTGCAAAAAGATCTCTGCTATAAGTGACAAAGTAATCTCTAGCGAGATGTGTATAAGAGACAGCTCTATAATAACTGGTAGGCAGAACGCTGGTATAAAAGACAAGAAAATTTCTATTTTACTTTGCAAAAAGATCTCTGCTATAAGTGACAAAGTAATCTCTAGCGAGATGTGTATAAGAGACAGCTCTATAATAACTGGTAGGCAGAACGCTGGTATAAAAGACAAGAAAATTTCTATTTTACTTTGCAAAAAGATCTCTGCTATAAGTGACAAAGTAATCTCTAGCGAGATGTGTATAAGAGACAGCTCTATAATAACTGGTAGGCAGAACGCTGGTATAAAAGACAAGAAAATTTCTATTTTACTTTGCAAAAAGATCTCTGCTATAAGTGACAAAGTAATCTCTAGCGAGATGTGTATAAGAGACAGCTCTATAATAACTGGTAGGCAGAACGCTGGTATAAAAGACAAGAAAATTTCTATTTTACTTTGCAAAAAGATCTCTGCTATAAGTGACAAAGTAATCTCTAGCGAGATGTGTATAAGAGACAGCTCTATAATAACTGGTAGGCAGAACGCTGGTATAAAAGACAAGAAAATTTCTATTTTACTTTGCAAAAAGATCTCTGCTATAAGTGACAAAGTAATCTCTAGCGTAAGTTGCAAAAAGATTGCTATTATAATTGGCAGAAAGGTTTTCACTGTCACTGGTGGACAGATCCCTAGCATAAATGGCAAAAAGATTTCGACTATAGTTGACAAAAAGATCTCTACTATAAGTGGCAAACAGATCTCTAGCATAAGTTGCAAAAAATTTTCCATTATCATTGGCAAAAATGTCTCTACCATCAGGTGTAGACAGATCCCTGGCATAAATAGCAAAAAGATCTCATCTATAACTGATCAACATATCTCTACCATAACTGACAAAAAGATCTCTGCCACAGCAAACATAACATCCACAGTCTAACTGCCATTTTATTAAATTAACGAAGAACACATAAAATGCAATTTTCAAAGATTCTCCTTTTTCTCAAAAAAATTATGGCTGACAATTTGGCGAAAATTTCTTTTGTAATTATTACTTAACCATCATTTTCTCTCAGAAAGACCGCTTGCTACGCAAATCGTCCAGCTCCGGTGTGAGAAACGGGCTTTCATCTTCCGCCGGACCCTTCGCGGAAGCCAAATAACCGGAAATCTGAATAGAAACTTCTTTTCGAGCGATTTGCATAGTTTAAATATGTCGGAGTGCCGGAACCTGCTTCCATGGTTCGGATACAGCTGCTCAAACTCGTTGCGTAACTATCGACTTATTTAATTCGCGTCGTATCCACGACGTTTCAGTGGACGGGGAACGGCCGTATGAAATATTGCAGCTCGTCGCGCCGAAGAATTTCTATATGCATTAGGGTCAAAAAATTCTTAGAACAACGCCGGCTGTCATCCGCCGCGATAAATGACAAAGAAACGGCGACGGGCAATCAATTATTTCTTTAATGATCGAGGCGATCAAGAATTCCTCGTATCGCGTAGCGGATCTCGACGCTCTTCGTTTCGCTTCGAAGATCGCGCTGAAAAATTATTATGGAAACAGTCGAAATTGCAAAGTCGACGGTCAAAGGTTACTTTCGAAAGCTCGAAGCAGCGATTGAACACAAATTAGAAGCTTGGACAATTCACGAAAAATAAGAGAAGATTTAGAAGTCGGCTGTGGGGCATTATGACGAGTATACTCGTCGTGACACGAAATACTAGCATTTTTCCAGGACGAGTATACTCGTCGTGACACGAAATACTATTATTTTTGTATGACGAGTATACTCGTCGTGACATAAATTACTACCATTTTTTCCATGATGAGTATACTCGTCGTGACACGAAATACTACCATTTTTCTATGACGAGTATACTCGACATGCCATAAAATATTATTATACCACTTTTTCCATGACGAGTATACTCGTCATGACACAAAATGCTACTAATTTTTCCATGACGAGTATACTCGTCGTGACACAAAATGCTACCACTTCTTCCATCACGAGTATACTCGTCATGCCACAAAATATTATTATACCACTTTTTCCATGACGAGTATACTCGTCGTGACACAAAATGCTACTAATTTTTCCATAACGAGTATACTCGTCATTCCACAAAATATTATTATACCATTTTTTCCACGACGAGTATACTCGTCGTGACACAAAATACTGTCAATTCTCCACGACGAATATACTCATCAAACACAGCTTAAAGATCGAAACGATTTCGGTCGCGCCGCTGTAAAATCGAAGTAAAATCGTGAGAATTAAAGTGCACAGGCTTCCGAAAGTGTTCGTCCCGACGGAGGCACGGTATCGGCTCCGTTGCATAACCAGAAAAAAAAAAGAAATCTTGTCGGATGATGCAACGGCGCTCGATGACCCTCGGCGGTGTATTGTCGTGTCTGGAGCGCCGCGGTTCCCCTGGCGTATATAATTACGAGCAATTAAATTTCGATCATTAATCACTTCGACGCCGAGCAATTAAATGTCGTCGATGAGCCTTCCAATTAGCTCGGTCGACGAGCGCGCGGCCTTTAACGGACGGTCGCAGCGTTTCTGGTCGCCGCGGTAACCGAAGGCCAGTTTTCTTCGGCCGTTTTCTGAAATTCCGAAATATCGAATGAAACAAACGGACACGCTTCGTAATTGTTTCCACTCAAATACAGTAATTCGATCGTAATTCGCACACTAATTCGCGCTCAGAGTGCGCATGAAAATGGACAATTTAGGGAGAGGAGATACGATTATTTGAGAGCCTCGTGTCTCGTTTTTATAGTCGTTGACAATCAGTAACTATAAAATAATAATATATTATTTTATATATTTATATATTTATTTATAATAATACAGGGTGTCCCAAAAATGTCTCACAATCCGGAAGTGGGGAGTTCCCAAGTTCATTTGGAGCAACTTTTTCCTTTACAAAATTTTTCTCCGAGGCTTCGTTTACGAGTTATCAACGGAAAACGTACAGCGCCACGCCCCGCTCGTCCACGCTCCGCACTCGCTCTCTAATTGGTCCGCGTTTTTCGCGAATAACTCGTAAACGAAGCCTCGCAGAACAGTTTCGCCGAGGAAAAAGTTGCTTCAAATGACCCAAGGAATCTCCATTGTCGAATTGCGGGACATTTTTGGGACACGCTGTATATTTTATTAATTATTATAGGGAGTCTTTACCGTATTTCCTAAACTGTCCCACGACCAATTACGAAATACGTCGACCGTCTTATCGTCTCTTGGGGCACCGTAATTTCGCACCATCGGCCTTTCAGGATCTCCACAGGACAGGCTGCAGCCTATTTTGCGGCGCTGCCGGCAGAGACAATCAAGCGGTGTTGCGTCGCGTTCTGCTCGGTTTCGCCCGATGGAACAAGTCCGTCGGCTATTGCCAAGGCCTGAACGTGCTCGCCGCCCTCGTTCTGCAGGTGATGGACCGGGCGGAGTCCGCCGCGGTAAAGGTGATGATCTACTTGATAGAAGGTGTCCTGCCGGAGGGCTACTTCGCGGACAATCTGCGCGGCCTCTCCGTCGACATGGCTGTGTTCCGCGACCTGCTGCGGACCAGGCTGCCCAAGCTCTCGAAACACCTCGAGGCGCTACAGAACGACGCGAAGGACAAGGCGACAGGTTATTCATTTTCGAGCAAGTTCCAGCAATTTATTTTTCTGTTGGGCCGGGCAATGCTTCGGGCCCTCCTTAGTTAGGTCCCAGTTTATGGGACCAAAGTAGCTGGGACCTTCTAGCGATTCGTCGCGACGAATTTTCTTTTTTTAATTAATTAATTGGAGGCTTTGTTCAGAGGAACAGAAATGTTACTTGCCTGACATAACTCAGATAAGACCCAGATCTGATCCAGACCGAACGGAGAAAATCTTCTGTGCTTCATCGAGGGGCCCCGGGCTTCCAGATAGTCCCGAAGACAGTGTCGCCACTGCACTGGCCCAGATCTGACCTCGGCCCAATCCGAAACTAGGTCAGATAAGGCCCAAACCTGACCCAGACCGAACCGAGACCTGGGTCTCCCTTACTGACGCTGAGATTTTACCCAAAAATGGATAATTCTGGGAGAGGAGATACGATTATTCCTTCAACCTTGAGGCTCGTTTTTATAGTTATCGATCATCAATAACTTCAAAAACGATCTTTAAATATTATTAGTCATTCCAAGGGTGCAATAATCGTACCCCCTCTTCTCGAACTTTCCATTTTCGTGAACAATCTAAACGTCAGTTAGGGAGACGTCTAAGTGTCAGTTAGGGAGACATCTAAGCGTCAGTTAGGGAGACATTTAAGCCTCTAAGCGTCTCTTAGGGAGACGTTTAAGCGTCTAAGCATCAGTTAGGGAGACGTCTAAGCGTCAATTAGAGAGACATGTAATCCTCTAAGCGTCTGTTAGGGTGACTTTTAAGCGTCTAAGCGACAGTTAGGGAGACATCAAACCGTCAGTTAGGGAGACTTTAGCGTATCTCGAAGACAACTCCGGTCAACTCGAAGCTGTCGCGACTTAGAAATACGGAAAAAATTGTAGAAAATGTGCCCGTTTTTATCACGAAAACCAGAGCCTCGTGACAGTAACAAATCATCGTGGAATCATGTAAAAATCCCTGTCACGAAAGCCCGAAGCACGTAATTTCTCGGCCCAAACGTTTTTACCTTAGCGAAAACGACTCGATCACTGATCCCAGTCGCTTTTAGGCAGCAGTTACGAGCCACCGCTGACGAATGTGTTCACGATGCAATGGTTCCTCACTCTCTTCTGCCACTGTCTGCCCCAGGAAGCAGTGCTCCGTGTCTGGGACCTGATATTCCTCGAAGGCGACGAGATTCTGCTACGCACCGCTTTGACCATCTGGGAGGGGCTGTCGGAGTAGGTTCAGTTTTAGGAGACCCTTCGCACGTTCCCACGAAGTCGACTGAAATTGACACTCGATTTTATGTTTTATTTATTCGATGTTATAATGCTTGGTTTATTGTTTTAGTCGGATCATGACCGTCACGTCGGCCGACGAGTTTTACAGCATTATGGGCGTCCTGACCAGGGAGATGCTGGAGTTCACCGACACCAATAATCTCATCAAGGTTAGTTCAGGTTGATAAATGCAGTAAATTCACCAGAATTGTCGCTCGGATCCTATTTCCAAGTTGTCCAATTTTGTGTACAATTCCAGCGTCAATTACGGAGACTTTATTGTACTGCTTTCAGTTCGCAAGCTTTGGGAATTTTCACTGCTAAACACAGCTTTAGCAAATTAAATAATATTTTTGTTAAGGATATGAAGGTCAATTTCAGAGCCTAGTAGAGTTGTCGTTTGGTCCTTGACCTTCGTAAAGGCTAAAATAACCCTTCGTTTGTCTAAAAATCCAAAGGGAGTCTCGCGTCTCGTTCAACGCTTTTTCTAAAATATAACCTAATTTGTGAACGCAATAACAATTTCTGATATATGTTACATATTACATATTACATATTACATATTACATATTACATATTGCATATTACATATTGCATATTACATATTGCATATTACATATTACATATTACATATTACATATTACATATTACATATTTCATATTTCATATTACATATTACATGTTACATATTACGTGTTACATATTACATGTTACACGTTACATGTTACATGTTACATGTTACATATTACATATTACATGTTACACGTTACATGTTACATGTTACATATTACACATTACACATTACACATTATATATTACATACATATAGGCGCGATTGGCCGACCAAATGACAATTGAACACGTTCGGAAATTCGGACGCTCCGTTTTCGAGCACAAAAAGAACCAATTCGCGAGCGCACCAAACGGTACCAAACACACAATTTTTCCAAGCAGCGCGTTGACATTTTCGTTGTCTGTGGGCAGAACATAGTCAGCATGGGAGCATTGCAAGGCGTGACCGGGCTGCGGGAGAAGCACAGGTACAACATCACGCCGTGGGCAAGGAAGCTGAGCGACGACGACGACAGCGACACGGAGGAGGACGAGAGGCTGGCGGTGGCCGCGGCGATGTTCAGCATGGCCCAGCGGCTGAAGAAAGGTAAAACGATCGCGAGCGACCGACGAACGCGCGCGCGGTCCTGGCAACAATGGTGTTCTGACGATATCGTTCTGTTTGTGCCGGTGACACGCAAGACATGCTTGTAGATCGTATACCGCAAACAATCGGCGCGCTGCAGGCGATGGCGCCCAGCAGCGACCGGGAACGGCTCGCTTTGGACATTAGCACGTTGAAGCAGCAGTACGCCAAGCTGAGGGAACGGCAACGACAGGCGCACATCATACTATCCGGTAATTGCTGACTTCGGCATTCTCGTTCGTATCGAGTCGCTTGAGAGACGCTGCGTGCAGTAATTTCTTCCGGAAATGTTCGGCGATCGGAATTGTATGCGGCAGATTTGAAAATACCGAGTTGCGATTCGTCGGGCCCCGTGATCTTTTCTATTTTTAGTTCGGGGGCCTGACACAACTTGTAGGCAATTCGGGGGCCTGACGCTATTTGAAGGCAATTCGGGGGTCACGTGACGTGATTTGACGGCAGTTAGGGGGCCTGACAGGATTCAAAAGCAATTCGAGGGCCTGACAACGATTCAAAGGCAATTCGAGGGCCTGACACTATTTGAAGGCAATTTGGGGGTCTGACACGATTCGAAGATAATTTGGGGGCCTGACACGATTCAAAGGCAATTCGGTGGCCTAACACGATTCGAAGCCAATTCATGACTACGTGTCACTATTTAAAGACAATTCGGGGGCCTGACACCATTCGAAGGAAATTCGGGGGCCTGATACGATTCGAAGCCAATTCGTGGCCACGTGACACTTTTCAAAGACAATTCGGGGGCCTGACACCATTCGAAGGCAATTCGGGGGCCTGACACCATTCGAAGGCAATTCGGGGGCCTAACACAATTCGAAGGCAATTCGGGAACCTGACACGTTTCAAAGTTAGTTCAGGGGCCTGACACGATTCTGGAGCAATTCGGGGACCTAACACGATTCGAAGACAACTCGGGGGCCTGACACGATCCGTAGTCAATTCCCTAATTGACGCTCAGCTTGGAAACAAAAATAAACAATTTAGAATTGAGAAGACTTGCGGCTCATTTCTACAGTTGTTGACAATCGATTACTATAGTAGTGCTACACGGGCTGTCCAAAAATTCTGGTACTTCCGAGAATTGGGGGATTCCTGAGATCATTTGAAGAAACTTTTTCCTCAGCAAAAATGCAATCCGCGGCTTCGTTTACGAGTTATTAACGAAAAACAGTGACCAATGAGAGATCGCGTACGGCTGGTGCGCGGCGGCCGAGCTCGCCTCTCATTGGTCACCGTTCTTCGTTAAAAACTCGCAAACGAAGCCTCGTAGAACATTTTCGCTAAGGAAAAAGTTGCTTGAAATTGCCTCGGGAACCCCCTGTTTCTTAGAAATACCATAATTTTGGGACACCCTGTACATCGTGCTGAATCATCCCCTCTTCCCAAATTGTAAATTTTTATGTGTAATCTGAGCGTCAATTAGGGAGAATTTTGCCCGATTCTGTCGACACTTACCATCGACGTGACAATAAATTACATAGGCGTAACACTGGCACAGCGAAATTCACGGCAAACCGAATTATGGCATTTCCGGGAGAAATTACTGTACTCACTTCGATGGCTGTCGCTGTTCAAGAGAAAAGCGCCGGGGGTTCCGGTAAATTCTCTGAAATTGTTCCTCGGTTTGCACACGAAAATGGACAATTCGGGAGCAGAAGACGCGACTGTCCAAGCCGCCATTTTCTCCGCAAAAATCGCACGTTTTCGTTTGAACAAGCCGCGGGTACAATTTTGCGAGAATTCGCCGCGCCTTGGTCACGACGAGAGCCAAAGTTCGTCCGGAATGTTTCTTTCTGCTGTTTTATTGCGACGACGCGTCCACGCTATATCGCCGTGAATGTATCATACTTGTTCGCTTGCAACGGAATCGCAGCAAAAATGCATAAATTCTTTCTTGACGCAGCTGCATGTGCAAGGCAGACCATGGTACCACCACCTACTTCTCAGGCCATGAATCATCTTTTAGTGGGCAAAAACGCGCTGGTGAGCGCGAAGAATCGACCCCTGAGCCTACCTTCCGGCGCTGTACAGGCGAAGACGCGACCTACGCCGCTCGGCCAGAATCGGAGGGACAGGCAGGGCGTCACGTTGCATTGGAAGGACACGAAGAAAGCGAAGCAGAAAGCCGCGAGCGCCTCAGGTTCGTGGGTTGTTCCGCAAGAGACGTCGCGGATCGGTCGCGATTTATCGCTGTTCCCTGTATAATAAACGGCAATTCGGACCGTTCGAACGGTTTTTATTGTCGATTATTAGACCGGGGATTTTATGCAGTTGCAGCGGCAACGAGCGCGCAATCCATTAGAAGCGTGCAGTGTACAGGGTAGAAAAAAGTTTATGTCACGGTTATCGTACACGGATTCTGCAACTTTAGATCGATGAAGATTTGTTAGAAAATGCTTTTCGCAAGTTTGACCTTGGCCGTATTTTTCAAGGTCAAGTTCTGTTTGTGGTCGTATCGTATTCTACTCGTCGAGAGGAGCAAAGTTGCAGAAGGAACCATGTGCCCCAAGGCAACCGTTTCGTTGTAATTAAATGTTGAACTGAGATTTTTCGAGCACTTTTGACAGTCCAACAACGAAATGTTTCGAACGAAGGTTAATTAGTACTCAGTCGACTATATATTGAGGAATAACAAATTTCGAAAACCGTTGTTTTTCTACTAAAAGTCAAGGACACGTTGATTATTTCAAACGACACCCTGTATTTTTAATTTTATAGAATTATTGCTGCCGAAATAGCGAATTCAACAACTTGCTATACTGTGACATTCAGATAACACTCACTTCAGCAATTTAGGCTTCAACAAGAGAGATTATTTATTAGTCTATGATAGCTGTGACATATTTTTTGCACACCTTGTAGATTTTTATCCAACATTTTTGTACAGTTGATAGCAGACTGTTGTTATAGTTTCCATAAAGATCCGCAGTCTATTTATGGTTGAATTGCTAATATAAAGGTTTCAGAATGTAATTATTTTACATGTGATTATTTTAATCGGTATAATTATAATTAGAATAGCTGAAAGTTAAATGATTATAAAATAGTGCAACATTCGTGGACAAGCATATTTATGAACGCAAAGTATTGACTTGGGTTAAATTAAACGCACTCAAACTAGAGCATTTTTAATGCTAAGATACTTCAACATGAATCAGAAATATTTGACGATTAATTCTTTAAAATCTTGATATACAAGCCGAAGAGAGAGGTTTGATTTAAATAATTTGGAGTTCGAGGTACAGGTGGCAGCACAGGACGGCACGTACTGGTGCTGCCGCCGGTGTCGAACCGTGGAACCCGACGGTACACTTGATACACTTGATTCTTGCTAATTTATCGAAGTAGATACCGCAACTATCGCCGCATTGCAGGATCAGACAGTTATACTTCGTTCTTACTAACTTATCGAGAGTCCTGTGCCCAGTAGGTGCTGCCACTAGTGTCAAATTGTGGAAACAGTATTCTTAATTCGTTATTGACTCGTCTAAACGCCAAAATAAGTACATCCAGGAATAAATTCATTGTTTCTATTCAGTCAATATATATTTATAACTAGACAGCCGATTTTAACACATGGCTGGATGCAATTTAAAACGATAGAAAGTTCAAAAGAATTTAACTGTGTCCACGTATCAAATTAAATAATTAAATTAAAAACCTGTTTTTAAATGATATTATTTTTTAAAATTAAAATTTAATTTAAAGCCAAAAATATGTTTAAATTTAAAATAAATGTAAATAATACCAGACAAGCGAGCGGCTAGGAACACAACATGCTTCGTTACTAGACAATGCATCTTCATGCAAACTAAAAATTGTTAACAATAATTGCAACGAATAGAAGCCGCATAGAAATTTGTTTTTCCGTAGCAATCTTTAACAAGCTGGAACTGTCGATGGTCTCCAGTTCTCCTGATCTATTTGGCGTTTCAAAAAACACGCTTATTTTCTCCCAAAATTCATAAAATAAATAAATACAAGTTAATAATAAAATAAATAGAATAATAGAATAGAATAATAAGAAAACTAATAATAAAGTAAATAAATAATAAAATATAAATAATAGAAATAAATAGATATAAGTATTATATACGTAATATATATATAATATAAATGATATAAATTCTGATATATTATATGTAATATAATAGATATAATATAAATTATATAAAAATTCTGATATAAATATTATATATATATATAATAGAAATATAATAATTATATTATATATATAATATTTATATCTATTTATTTCTATTATTTATTATTTATAGTATATTATTTATATTACTATTATAAATATTTATATACAAAATTTATATCTATATATATAAAATCTGTTCTAACAATTTAACATTTCGCGTTCAAATTCCAACCGCAATCCTCTCATTCGTCCATCCGTTCCTCCAGGCGCAGTAGAACCGGCAACGTCGCAGCCGCCGGAGGCGGACCTGGCGTCGCCGAAGCGGGGGAACGGGGACAGCGACAGCGATAGTACATCCACCGAGCTGTGCGACGAGCCGGACCGGATGAGCGACGTCGACAGCGAGGACCTGACGTCGGCGTCCGAGTCCTACGTAATGGCGACGGACGATGATCGAACGTCCCGGGGAGGGGGTTCACCGATGCCGGAGAGATCGCTGGACCGTTTGTCTCCCGAGGAGAAAATCGACCCAGCCTCGGTCGACGACAAACTGGGCGCCGACGGAGAGAATTTGGGGGACACGTCGATCGCGAAGATCACCGATCAGATCCGACGGCTGTCCGCGGAGGATGACAATAATTCGATGGTTCCTGAGTCGTTCGGCGCGCTGGGCAAACACTCGCCGGACGATTCGTCGACGGCGGAGTTGTCTCTACGGAGGGATCAGTGCGGCGCCGATGCGTCAGCGGACAGCAACCTGGTCTTGGATGAGTACTACTCAGGGATGCTTGGCAACACTGTCGGCGTGAAAGAGGACGAGGCGCTGGGACGCGAGCCGAAGGGTCCTGCGAAGGGGGCCCAGGACTTTGTGGATGGTCTGAGGGAGCTAAAGGGACTCGGGGAGCTGAAGGACCCGGAGGAGCTAAGAGACTTGAAGGATCTGAAGGACCTGAAGGTACTAAAAGACACAAAAGAACTGATGGATCTGACAGACCTGAGGGACCTGAAGGAGCCGATGGATCTGAAGGAGATAAAGGACCTGAAGGAGCTTAAAGACTCAAAAGAGCTGGGGGACCTGGAGAAGTTGATGGGCCCAAAAGAGCTAAAGGACCTGAAGGAGCTTAAAGACCCAAAAGAGCTGAGGGACCTGGAGAAGTTGATGGGCCCAAAAGAGCTAAAGGACCTGAAGGAGCTAAAAGATCTAAAAGAGCTGATGGACCTGAAAGAGCTGAGGGATCTGAAGGAGCTAAAAGACCCAAAAGAGCTGAGGAACTTGAAGGAGCTGATGGACCCAAAAGAGCTAAAGGACTTGAAGCAGCTGAAGGACCTGAAGGAGCTAAAGGACCCGGAAGAACTGAAGCACCAGAAAGAGCTGAAGGACCTGAAGGAGCTGATGGATCTAAAAGAGCTGAAGGAGCTGAAAGTCCCGAAAGAGCTGAAGGNCCAACCGCAATCCTCTCATTCGTCCATCCGTTCCTCCAGGCGCAGTAGAACCGGCAACGTCGCAGCCGCCGGAGGCGGACCTGGCGTCGCCGAAGCGGGGGAACGGGGACAGCGACAGCGATAGTACATCCACCGAGCTGTGCGACGAGCCGGACCGGATGAGCGACGTCGACAGCGAGGACCTGACGTCGGCGTCCGAGTCCTACGTAATGGCGACGGACGATGATCGAACGTCCCGGGGAGGGGGTTCACCGATGCCGGAGAGATCGCTGGACCGTTTGTCTCCCGAGGAGAAAATCGACCCAGCCTCGGTCGACGACAAACTGGGCGCCGACGGAGAGAATTTGGGGGACACGTCGATCGCGAAGATCACCGATCAGATCCGACGGCTGTCCGCGGAGGATGACAATAATTCGATGGTTCCTGAGTCGTTCGGCGCGCTGGGCAAACACTCGCCGGACGATTCGTCGACGGCGGAGTTGTCTCTACGGAGGGATCAGTGCGGCGCCGATGCGTCAGCGGACAGCAACCTGGTCTTGGATGAGTACTACTCAGGGATGCTTGGCAACACTGTCGGCGTGAAAGAGGACGAGGCGCTGGGACGCGAGCCGAAGGGTCCTGCGAAGGGGGCCCAGGACTTTGTGGATGGTCTGAGGGAGCTAAAGGGACTCGGGGAGCTGAAGGACCCGGAGGAGCTAAGAGACTTGAAGGATCTGAAGGACCTGAAGGTACTAAAAGACACAAAAGAACTGATGGATCTGACAGACCTGAGGGACCTGAAGGAGCCGATGGATCTGAAGGAGATAAAGGACCTGAAGGAGCTTAAAGACTCAAAAGAGCTGGGGGACCTGGAGAAGTTGATGGGCCCAAAAGAGCTAAAGGACCTGAAGGAGCTTAAAGACCCAAAAGAGCTGAGGGACCTGGAGAAGTTGATGGGCCCAAAAGAGCTAAAGGACCTGAAGGAGCTAAAAGATCTAAAAGAGCTGATGGACCTGAAAGAGCTGAGGGATCTGAAGGAGCTAAAAGACCCAAAAGAGCTGAGGAACTTGAAGGAGCTGATGGACCCAAAAGAGCTAAAGGACTTGAAGCAGCTGAAGGACCTGAAGGAGCTAAAGGACCCGGAAGAACTGAAGCACCAGAAAGAGCTGAAGGACCTGAAGGAGCTGATGGATCTAAAAGAGCTGAAGGAGCTGAAAGTCCCGAAAGAGCTGAAGGACCTGAAGGAGCTAAAATACCCAAAAGAGCTAAAGGACCTGAAACAACTGAAGGACCTGAAAGACCTTAAAGACCTGACAGACCCAAAAGAACAGAAACAACTGAAGGATCCAAATGATCCGAGGGATCCGAAAGATCTGAACGATCCAGCCCAAGCGTCCAACCCGCCCGCGAGCTTCCAGCCTCTGGACTCCGGTGCGGTTTCGGCATACCCGGCGTCGCTGCGCGGCAAGTACGATCGGCTGTTCGACGAGCCGACGTCGATAGACGTCAGGACGCGACGAGACGAGAGAATCGCGGCGACCGTGGACAAGTTAAACGCTAGTCAGAACGAGGACGGTAATTACGGTACGACGATAAATATGACGGAGACGAGTGCCGCGGAGAAAGACGACACAAGGTATGATAAACACGCAGATACATCTAGCCTATTATTAGACCGCGGGTACGACGAAATGACAGAGAAATCTATTTTGTTAGATAGAATGTACGATGATATCGCGGACAAGGCCTCCCCGTTAGACACAGTGCGCAACGATACGGGAGAGGCGACATTCAGACACGACGTTCAGAGCCTGTCCGTAGACGTAAAGTACGACAGTGTCCTCCTAGAGAGACCCTCCCTGACCCAAACCAGTATAGACGAGACGTTCGACAGTTTCTTAGACAGGAAATACGACGGAGAGTCGAGCCGCGACGGTATCGCGAAACAGCTGACGCAACTGGACGCGAGATACGCTAGACCAGCCGGCCAGACGTCGTTGAGCCTTATGGTAGACGCAGTCGTCGGCAGAGCCTCTCCGCTGGACGCGGGATTCGGCAACATGTCGGGGACCAGATTGCTGGACGCCGTAGACGACGAGGCCTCGAAATACGACGGCCTGTCGAGGATGTCGTTGAACGGGACGAGGAACCAGGCTGCTCCGTTGGACCCCTACGACAAGGTCGGCTCGCTGGACCCTAAGTTCGGCAGGGCTAGCTCGGTGGCTGCGAGGGGCCCGATGTACGACGGACTCGACGCCTTCGACGCGAAGTACGAGAAGGTCTCCGTGGAGGCTAAGTACGAGCAGATCGTGGAGAGGGCGACGCCGTTGGACCTGAAGAGCCCAGGGAAGTCAGTGCTGGACCTGGGGCGCGAGAACGGGGAGCGGTACAGGTCTGCTTTCGATTTCTCCAGCATCCTGGAGACGAAGGCGTACGAGCCGGCTGGTGCGACATCAGCGTCCGAGACATCAAGTACAATGGGCGCGGAGACGAGTATGTTTGGCAAGAGCTACGTGGGACACCTGCCGATCTCGCCGGTGACCGTGGACCAGAAGTTGGGTCAGCCGATCTCTGTGCACGGGGCGAACAGTATTATAACCCTGACGACGGAGTCCTCCAACTCGCAGCTGCTGGAGACGACGTACCTGGTCGACAGGATCATCCAGCCGAGCCAGCAGAAGGCTTACGCAGAGCTGAAGAAGAGCCCGCAGACTCCAGAGAGCAGCAAGTCGTTCGGGTCCGGAGAGACCACAGGACCTGACTCGAAGCCCTCGAGTATTCCTATCAGCCCTAGGACACCGGTGAGGTCCGACTCGCGGGGCTACCTAACGGAGAAGTCGGTGTCCTCGTCCGTGAGCTCGGACTCGAAGACCCTTGTGTTCCGGTCGGCGGACTCGGACGGGGCCAAGGACAGCGAGAAGACCGAGACGAGAAAGAGCTTCGAGAAGTCCAGCTCGCTGACGCCGATCAGCACGGACTCGTTGCGCGTGAAGTCCGAGAGCAGCCCGAAGCTGGTGATCAGCAGCTCCAGCGAGTCCTGCAGCCCCGGCAAGATGAAGTCTTCCGAAAGGTCGTTCAGCTCGGATCTGCAGTCGCCGATAAGTGCCAACTCGATCAAGTACACATCGAACTACAATAGACACGGCGGGGATGGCATGTCCGGCTCGCCGATGGACCTCAGCGAGGCCACGTCGCCATTCTACCCGATCTCGAACCCGAATCAGAAGACGCCGCCGTCGCCCTACAGCGCGCCCAGACGGCGGTCCAGCCTGGACAGCACCGAGACGTCGCCGGAGCAGAAGTCCAGCAGCTCGAAGGAGTCGAACAGGTACCTGGGCTACCAGTCCAAGTTCGAGCCGGGCCTGAAGCCGGACGCCAACGACATGGAGGCCAGGTTGCCGAAGAAGGAGGACTTCGGAAGGGGCTACAAAGAGGTCCCCGGCGACAGGAGGAACGGGGACAACGACGTCCATTTCTACCGGGCAGGTGACTACTGCGCGAAGGACCTAGACCTGGACGACGCCAGTGAGGATCCCCTGTCGGAGAAGGACGTCGTGCCGTCTCTCCCGCTCGAGAAGCTGGATATGCACTACTTGGGCTACAACTACAAGCATCGGGACAAGTCCAGGCTGCTGGAGCGGAGTTCCAGCAGCCTGGACAGCAGGCGGTTCGCGGACATGAAGTCCTCGCTGTCCGCGGACGAGTTCAACGCCAGCATGGTGAAGAAGAGGTCCAGCGACATCCTGGAGGACATCAAACACCTGGAGGCGAAGGCTAGCGAGGGCTCCTCGGACCCTGAGATTCTCGCGAAGAAGAGTTACATGTGGGAGGACCTGAAGAACCTGGAGGCGAGGCGGCAGGACACGTTCACCGACTCCGCCAGCACGTTCTCCAAGCGACGCCTGGAGATCCCTGACATCAGCGTGACGGGGGACGGCAGGAAGTCGTACATCGTCCACCCGAAGATGAGCATCGACGAGAACGCGGACAGCATATTGAACACCGTGTGCCGCAACCAGAACAACGGCGTCCCGGACGACGGCAGGGAGTCGAAGCTGGGCGTCTGGACGAAGGTGAAGCCCCGAAAAAAGGGGGACAACGGGCGCAGGAACAGCGACAGGGCGCTGAAGATCATCCAGGAGAACTCTGTCATCCTTCAGAAGATCCTGGCCTGCCAGGCGAAGAAGCGGCTGCCGGACCTCGAGGAGATCTCCAAGGAGATCAGCATCAGTCCCATCAACGAGGAGATCTCCAAGATCTTTAGTCCAATCCTGGAGAAGATGGGGCTGAACGAGCACGAGATCAACGAGGAGCTCGCCAGGATCAACTTCAAGGACTTCGACAACATGACGGCGACCAGCGTGTCCGAGTTCGACGCGAAGATCAACGAGGAGCTGTCCAGGCTGTCGCTGATCGACGATAACGAGCAGATAGATCACTTCGCTGTTGACGAGGTGATCGCACGCCAGTACTCGGACACCAGGGAGCAGCTGATTGACCGGAAGATCAACGAGGAGCTGTCAAAGCTGCTGCTGAACTACGAGGACCGATCGCCGGCCAGCATGGCGAACCTAGAGAAGAGCTCGAGTCAGAACGTCAGCGAGATAGACGGCCTGGACCTGTCCAGCGTGTCGACCAACGTCTTCTCCTACAAGTCCTCGAACGACTCCATAGACGCCAGAAGCGACCTGACCACCCAGGAGCCGTCGCTGCCATCGGAGAAGTTCTCCCAGTACGCCGAGAAGGTGCTGCCCTACAGCGTTTCGAAGTACAGGGACGACGACTCGTCCCCCAAAAGCGACATCGACATCTACAGGGAGCTGGAGAAGCTGGACCAGATCTCCTCGGCCCAGGTCCTGCCGCACCCGATCCTGGAGCTCCCGCAGCAGGAGCTATCCTCCATCCCCTATGTGCCTAACAGCTCTCCCTTCGACGACGTCCCGCCGATCAGATACACGGCGAAGCCGGTCCAGTACGACGCGTCGCCCCTGAAGACCTCCTACGATCCCTACAAGACCTTCGACTTCAAGCCCAAGCTGTCCCCCAAGCACGCGACCACCAACCCGTTCGTCTCGTCACCCTACGACCAGCCTGTCAGGGACACCGCCTTCGAGTACATCAACAACAAGCCAGACCTGTCCATCAACGCCTACGATAAGCACCTGAAGAGCCCGCTGATGACCAAGGAGGCCTTGGAGTTCCGCGTGAGGTACGACGAGGAGCCCTCCAGGGACATCGGCGGGGATTACAGGTCCCTGCCTTTGGAACTCACGCTGACTTCCAGCACGTCCCCCTACTTCAGCAACGGGAACACCGAGCCGCTGACGCCGACGAAGTACGGATCCAAGGAGGACAGGTGCCTAGATCTTATAGGGTCCTCTTTCCTGGAATCCGCGGACCTGCGCCGCAAGTACGACGCCTTGTCCCCGAAGGAGTACTCCCTGAAGAGCCTGGACTACGACAGACACCTGTTGCCTTCCGTAGAGGCCGCCGCCGACCTGGGCTCGTACCTGCCGACGAAACGGATGGACTATCCTCTGTCGCCGAGCCGGCAGTTCATCGAGCAGCGCTTCCCCACCTCGGTGAACCACTACGCGTCGAAGCTGTCCCCGGGCCTGGCCGACGAGACCAAGCGGCCCGTCTCCCACCCGGATTTCCCGGGCAAGATGGTCGTCGCAAAGTACACGGAGCTGCCCGACAGAGGCGTGGCGAGCAGCTACCAAAAGTCCTCGCTGAGCCTGGGCAACATCGGCCACCCGGCCAAGGGCCTCGAGAACAACTACAACACCCTGGCCAGCCCGAAGGCCCAGTTCAGCCCGTTCCCCGTGAGGAACGCGCCCCGGAAGCCGAACGAACTCACCCTGAAGCTGGGCCTCTACCCGCAGAAGAACCCCGATCTGGGACAGTTGAAGAGGTCATAGTGCGAGACACGGTGGACACGTCGGGGTCTGCTCGGTTGTTGACCCGGCCGGCCGGGTGGTTCAGTGATCGACCGGACAGTGGGCCTACGTCGCTGACAGACACTCCGCGATAACGCGGCGACAACGGTGTCGCGAACCGTTCGTGCCGGATGCTTTTCGAACGGTCGCACGGTCTCCGAGTCAACGCACGCCTCGCGCGACGCGTCTCGGCCGGCTCGCTGTCTGTCCCTTGGGTGGTGGGGGAAGCCGCGCGTGGCGACACCGCTCAGACACGCCGCGAGGCTACGCGACCGTGCATGTCGCTCAACCGACCGAACGAACGTTGAATTTTCACGTACTGTCGCGCATAATTGCCCGCTCCTCTTTAGCGATAATCATTAAATACGTTTTCTCCGAATGTTTATAGTCTATGAACGTTGACTAATTAAACGAACGTTTTTTACGAGCTCTGCTTGACACGGCTTCACGAGAACCGATCCCGTTCGCTCTTCGTCTCTTTTGGTATCGATTTAGGGAGAGGGAGAGGGAGAGAGAGAGAGGGAGGGACGAAGAGGGAAGGGGAGAGAAAGAGAGAAACAAACGCTTGCTGAACAGCACCAAAGATCCATGCGGAACGTACACACACTTGCAATTTCTAATGCGATGCCTTCGATCTCCCTCCAATCTCGCAAAGTAACCTCGTTATCACGTCTCGATTATTCAGTACGGTGCGATAAGTAGCCGCGATGCGCGCACGAGAGCTCGAACCACGGCGAGATTGTGAGATATGGCAAGCCGGGAGTCGAGAAAAATTGTTTGCCTGAATCGGACAGCTAGAGAAAGAGAGAAAGAGAGAGAGAGAAAAAGAGAGGGAGTGAAAGTAGAAAAGCAAATAAAGTGAGAGAGAGAAAGAGAGAAACAGAGAGAAAACCAAGAAAGTGACAGTGAAAGAGAGAGAGAGAGAAGGAGAGAATTAAAGAAATAATCGAAGAGAGAGAGAAAATGAAAGGAGGCAATTGAAGAGAGAGAGAAAGAGAGAAAATGAAAGAAGGTAATCGAAGAGAGAGTGAGAGAGAATGAAAGAAGACAATCGAAGAGAGAGAGAGAGAATGAAAAAAGGCAATCGAAGAGAGAGAGAGAGAATGAAAGGCAATCGAAAAGAGGGAGAGAAAGAGAAAAAATGAAAGAAGGCAATCGAAAAGAGAGAATGAGAAAAGGCAATCGAAGAGAGAGAGAGAGAGAGAGAGAGAGAATGGAAAAAGGCAATCGAATGAAGTGAGAGAGAGTGAGAGAGAGAGAGAGAGAGAGAGTGGAAAAAGGCAATCGAATGAAGTGAGAGAGAGAGAGAGAGAGAGAGAGAGAGAAAAA